CAGCCTTCGACTACCTGAAGTGTGGTTCCAAAGAGGATGGAGGTGGACCGTTCTTAGTGATGACAGATAACAGAACAAGGAGCAATGGTCTTAAGTTACATCAATGAAGGTTTAGGAAAAACTCTCTCACTAGGAGGGTGGTAAAGCAATGGAATGGGTTACCTAGAGAGGTGGTGGAATCTCTATCCTGGGAGATTTTTATGGCCTGGTTCAACAAAGCCTTGGCTGGGATGATCTAGTTGCGGGTGGGTCCTGCTTTGAGCAGGGGGTTGGACTAGATGACCTCCTGAGGTCCCTTCCAACCCTCACTTTCTATGATTCTGTGAGTGGTGGCAGCATCTGGGCCATTGAGCACCGTGCTGTGATTTGGTGAGGGATGATGTTTTGCATTATGGTATCTGACCTTTTATGCACCCTAGCAGCAGACTGAATTATACCACACAAGGCAGAAAACAGGTGGTAAGCAATGCAATGCTTCTACAACAAGTACTAATGCAGGGATTCCATCTTCCTTATGTAAGAGAAGGAAAACCCCACCTTGCTTAAATAAAGAAGCTAAGCACTAATTATTCTTCTTTTTAATGGATGGGGAAAACAAAGGTGGAAAGGTTAAAAGGATTTGTCCCAGGACACAAAGGCAAGATTAGAACATACAGTACCTTTTTTTCCTTGTCATAACTATGTTTAATTCACTGTGTTATGCAGCCTCCCCTTTATTGGGGTCTCTGTTTTTGTGGCAAGTGATCAGACTTGGTGTTCCACAGGGAAATCAGATTTGTCTTCAGGCCTCTGGAGAAGGCAGATTTCAGCAGTACTAATATTATGTGGAGCATCTTAGCTCAGCCCCTGGCACGGATCTTTGAGAGTTCCTGGTGCTCTGGTGAAGTGCCCGAAGATTGGAAGAAGGCCAATGTGGTGCCTATCTTCAATAAGGGGAGGAAAGTAGATCCGGCATACTACAGGCCCATCAGCCTGATCTCTATCCTGGGGAAGGTCTTGGAAAAAATTATCAAAGAGGCCGTCCTTAACAGACTGGCTGACGGCAACATCCTGAGGGATAGCCAGCATGGGTTTGTTGCGGGTAGGTCTTGTCTGACCAATCTTATTTCCTTTTACGACCAGGTGACCTATCACCTGGACAAGGGAGAAGAGACTGATGTCATATATCTTGACTTCAAAAAAAGCCTTCAATCTGGTATCCCATGATCACTTCTTGGCAAAACTGGCCAACTGCGGTCTCGGCCTCACCACGATCCGCTGGCTGGGGAATTGGCTCCGCGGTAGGACCCAGAGGGTGGTAGCTGATGGAAGTCAATCGTCATGGTGCCCTGTGACCAGTGGGGTCCCTCAAGGCTCTGTCCTAGGGCCTATACTATTTAACATCTTCATTAGTGATGTAGACATTGGTGTCAGAAGTGGACTGGCCAAGTTTGCCAATGACACCAAACTCTGGGGTAAAGCATCCACACTCGAGGACAGAAGGGTGATACAGACAGACCATGACAGGCTCAGGAATTGGGCGGATGAAAACCTGATGGTGTTCAACACCAAAAAATGTAAGGTTCTCCACCTCGGGAGGAAAAACCTGCAGCACGCTTATAGGCTCGGTAGTACTACACTGGTTAGCACTATGGATGAAAGGGACTTGGGGGTTTCATAGTTGGTAGGGTCGGAAGAGACCTGAGCAGATCATCAAGTCCAACCCCCTGCCATGGGAAGGAAAGAATGCTGGGGTCAAACGACCCTGGCTAGGTGTCTATCTAGCCTTCTTTTAAAGACCCTCAGGGTAGGAGTGAGCACCACTTCCCTTGGAAGTTGGTTCCAGATCCTAGCCGTCCTGCTGTGAAGTAGTGCCTCCTGATATCCAGCCTGAATCTACTCTCCGTCAACTTATGGCCATTATTCCTTGTTACTCCCAGTAGTGCTCAGGGGGAACAGGGACTCTCCCATTGCCTGCTGGTCTCCCTTGGCCAGTTTGTAGATGGCCACCAGAACCCCTCTCAGTCTTCTCTTGTGAGGCTGAACAGGTTCAGGTCCCGTAGCCTCCACTCATAGGGCCTGCCCTGCTGCCCCCTGATCATGTGAGTGGCCCTCCTCTGGACCCTCTCAATGTTGTCCACATCCTTCCTGAAGTGTGGCACCCAGAACTGGACGCAGTACTCCAACTGTGGCCTGACCAATGTCATATAGAGGGGGAGGATCACCTCCTTGAACCTGCTCGTGATACATCTGTGGATGCATGACAAGGTGCGGTTGGCCTTCCTGACTGTATCCCCACATTGGCAGCCCATGTTCATCTTGGAGTCTATGATGACTCCAAGATCCTTTTCTGCCTCTGTGCCTACAAGAAGGGAGGTCCCCAGCCCGCAGGTATGGTGCTGGTTCTTTCTCCCTAGGTGCAGTACCTTGCACTTGTCAGTACTGAATCCCATCTTGTTCTCATCCGCCCACCCCTGTAATCTGTCCAGATCCAATTGCAGCCTGTCCCTCCCTTCTAGTGTGCTCACTTCTCCCCACATCTTAGTGTCATCTGTGAATTTGAACAAGGTGGTTTTCTCCCCCTCGTCCAAGTCACTGATGAAGATATTGAACAGTGTGAGCCCGAGGACCGAGCTCTGGAGGACCCCACTGCCCACATCCCTCCAGGTCAAAAATGACCCATCCACCAACACTCTCTGGGTGCAGCCCTCCAGCCAATTGGCGACCCATCTGACTGTGTAGGCATCGACACCACAATCTCCTAATTTTTTAACGAGAACGGGGTGAGACACAGTGTCGAAGGCCTTCCTAAAGTCCAGAAAGACTACGTCCACCGTGACACCTGTGTCCAAGGATCTTGTGACCTGGTCATAGAAAGCCACTAGGTTGGTCTGACAGGACCTGCTTCTAATGAACCCATGTTGGTTGCCCCTAAACATACACTCCCCTGCTTGCTCCTCTCAGATGTGCACCTGGATAATTTTCTCAAAGAGCTTCCCCAGGACTGAGGTAAAACTAACAGGCCTATAATTTCCTGGGTCCTCCTTTCCCCCTTTTTTGAAAATGGGGACAACATTGGCCCTTTTCCAGTCCTCTGGCACCTCACCAGAGCACCATGAGTGCTCGTAAAGCTGAGCCAGGGGTCCCGCAAAGACCTCTGCTAGTTCCCTCAGAACTCTGGGGTGGAGATTGTCAGGACCTGCTGATTTGAACATATCCAGTCCCACCAGAAGTTCCCTGACTAGGTCCTCTCTGACCCTGGGCCTGGCTGTCCACAAGATGATAGGCCACAAGATGAACATGAGCTTTCAATGTGATACTGTGGCTAGTAAAGTGAACAAAACGCTGGCCTGCACCCATAGATGCTTCTCAAGTAAATCCCAGAATGTCATTTTCCTGTTGTACTTGGCCTTGGTAAGGCCGCAGCTGGAGTACTGTGTCCAGTTTTGGGCTCCACAATTCAAAAAGGGTGTGGAGAAGCTTGAGAGAGTCTAGAGGAGAGCCACGTGCATGATCAGAGGTCAGGAATACAGACCTTATGATGAGAGGCTGAGAGCCATGGGACTCTTCAGCCTGGAAAAGTGCAGGCTCAGTGGTGATGTGGTGGCCACCTATAAGTTTATCGGGGGTGCTCACCAGGATCTGGGGGAACGTCTGGTCACCAGGGCGCCCGAAGGGCTGACAAGGTCAAACGGTCACAAACTCCTCCATGACCATTTCACGCTGGACATAAGGAAGAACTTCTTTATTGTCCAAGCCCCCAAGGTTTGGAATAGACTGCTGCCAGAGATGGTTCAAGCACCTACCTTGAACACCTTTGAATATTTATCTTGCTGGGATCCTATGATCCCTGCTGACTTCCCGCCCCTAGGGCAGGGGGCTGGACTCAATGTTCCGCGGTCCCTTCCAGCCCTAGCGTCTATGAATCTTAAGCTTTCTCCTCACAGCTTCCCATGAGTTGTTGCCTTTCAGGAACTGAAAGGCAAGGCCATCATTAGGCTGCTGTAACAGAAATGGTTAATGTCCCAGGATCTTTGAAAAGTGCCTTGACAAGCTGTAAATCCTTGTGAGCTATGTAAGAGAGTCTATCTTTTAATTTAAAATGTCTAAACATTTTTACATTTCATATTTCTTCTAGGATTCACAGCTCTGGGCTTTATGTGCCTCAAAGGCAAAAACAGTCTCACAGATGAAGGCTCAGCAATGTAAGAGGAATTATAAACTCTGATGTTCCAATTTAATGATCCACAGGTGGAGAACACATCTCTGCAAATTTTTTATCATCAAGGCCACTCTAATTTCCTTGGGTCTGCTGCCATATAAAAGACAGTATACATTCATAAGACCAGGTGGGCAAATATAGCTTTTCTGTGGCCTTATGGAAGAATTTTATAGGATTTTGGATAGAAAGCTATATTTGTATCATGATGAAATACTACCCCATTCTCTTTTCTACTTTCTGCAGTTATTTCCAATTTAGAGCACTAAAGATCATGCCATTTGATAGACTCAATTTTTTACACTTATTTTTTTATCCATGAATATTAGTCATGAAAGCTAATGTTATGTGGATAGGCATTGCATAAGGACAGTATTGATTCTATAAATCTGCCACTCTTAAAAATAATGTGCTATATCAAATGGGTTGATAAAGTCACACATCTTAGTCTTAATGGAAGCAGCAGAAGTGTAAAAAATTGAAGTCTAACATTAAAGTCTTTATGGTAAGCAAATTAAGTCAAAATTTGGAAGAATTTGTTTTTGTTCCTAATACATATAGGATTGCTTCCTCCTCTGTGATCCCCTAGAAATGACGCATCAACCTCCCAGTAAAAAGGAACTTCCTTGTGAATGAAGGGGGAAAAAAACAAACCAAAACAACTCTCCCCCACAAAAGCTGAAAGACCCATTTGTGACTTTTTTTAGACAGTGGGAATCAACCTATAAGATATGGAAAAAAGAACGGTTCAGGTGAGATAGAGAACTGAATGAAGCAACCAAAATAAAAAAAACCACTGTACCTTGTTCCTGTTTGATCCTCTCTCTCTCTGCATAGCCAGCAGCAAGCATGTTAATTCTGTTTAGCCATCTGAAATTATATTAAAAAAAGGAATGATACTAATTCAGCTTATTAACTTGGGGACTTTGCTACTAAAATGACGTTATAAGCCATCTGAAGAAGATACAGGACACTGTTATTTTACATATAAGACAGCTGTTTTTTGTGATACTTTTATTCATGGTGTCTCCAAAGATCTATAATTTTGCTGCTGAACAAATTGTTTCCATACCAAAGATTCTGTTTCAAATAGAAAAGCTTAAATGATGGTAAACATCTGTAAAGTAAAAGACTTTGAAATAATCAAAGACCCATTAAGCTTACTGCTCTCACATGTGCCACCATACCAATATACCCACTGTTCTGACTTCTCAAGAAAAAATGCTGTTTTACAGAGATTTAAGCAATATTTTAAGGCCTGATTTGGCATCTTAGCAGGGGAAAAGATCAGAACCCAGTAGTCAAAAGAATAGGTTTACTTCTAAACAGACAGGGAGAGTTTAATTATGACATTATGTTTTTTAAAGCTTACCTACAGTGCAGAGTACAAAGGGATGGGAATACATCAGAACCTGCTTTTGTGTTTGAGTTGAGGAGACAAAGGGAGGGAAAGGTAGTTGCCTCAAAACACAATTCATGTTTAAGGCACTAACCTCTACTTAGACCTGAAAAATGTATTTCCATAAGCGGAGTGAATTAAAAATAAACTACAGTTATTCTCGTCATTTAGCAATGCTGTCATTGTCAAACAGACATTCAGCTGCCTGTAGCTATACATTGCTTCAACCTGCACTCTAACCCACAGGGGGCTTTCAGTGTATTCATTTTCCAACTGTTCACTCTATATCAGCTCCTCCCTCAATGAGATTTTAAACCAACCTGACAACCTCGCATTGGTAAATCTGGAATTATTTACCCAAGACATACCATTGCTGAGTTTTAGCAGACCTTGCTTTTTAAGCTAGTAGTTTTACTACAGTTTTATTACAGTTTTAGTAAGCTGGCAGTTTTACTGCTTAAATATATAATAAAATGAGAAGGACAACAAAAAATAATATATTTCTTATTGGAAGAATGTATTCTTCCAAAATACCTGCTTCAGAAAACTGTAAAGGATTGGCTTTCTTTGCATAGTGTATGGAAGCAAGTAGAATCCAGTATTTTCCCCACAAATGAAGATAGCATCCTTTGCAAGTGTTCTCAAACATGAAGTTTCCAAGGCATTTCAGTGGGTGGTAACCAAGCCATCAGATCATGATATGCAGTAGCTCTCACTGAAATAAAGACCATGGTGTGGTGTTTGACAATTGATAGGGTCCATCAATTGCTCTATGTTAAGAAGAGCAGTAATAACACTACTCTTGCTGCAAGGATGGAACATCTGATATTAACAGCTAATGTTATCATGGGAGAGATGGAAGAAAAGGAAGACAGAATGAAGGAACCTAAACTTTCAGGTACTGTAGTTAATAGCTGCTGTACATTTAAAAAAATAATTGGAGTTTTAAGGCAAAAAACACAAATCAACCAATCCTGCCACAGAGAAGTAGTCACATCTTAAATCACCATAAGAGTGCCATCCAAACTTTACATTAAATTCATCACAAAGGCCTGG